AGTATTCGCCTCTCTGTTGGAAAGGATTCCTCCTGCGCTAGCTTTGCAAGATTGTGTAATGAGTCTTTTAGCTCAGTTGCTGTTAGACATGCTGACTCAGATCTACTTCGATTTTTGCAATTACTTATAAAACGCCTGCAATATGCGACTATTCGAACTAAACGCCTTAGGCTATTACTAATTCCAAATATGAATGATTTAGTTGGTTGAATGTGTCTAACTGCACAAACTGTACATCTTACTTCTATTGTTGGAACTTCTGATTTGGGTGTAATAGGCCATTTATCTTCTGAATTTGATAAGAATAACGGACCATGCCATCAAAGCTCCGATTGCCATAATTGATTGGGAAATACGCCTCGCGAAAGTAAATCGGCTGGGTTTTCTGCTGTTGGCACATGTCTCCAGTTGCGAGTATCAGTTAACTCTTGTATTTCTGCGACACGGTTTGATACAAATACTTGTAACTTGCTTGGTTGCGTTTGTATCCAATTGAGTACTATGGTGGAATCACTCCAGTATGTAATCTTGTCAAACGATATGTTTAATGAACTTAGTATCTTTTTCATTAACCGTGCGAGTGTAAGCGCCGCACAAAGCTCCAGTCGAGGTATTGTTTGTTGTTTGAGTGGTGCGACTCTTGTCTTAGAGCACAACAATCTTACTTCACTTGTATTTTGATGATCTATTGAATGAATATATGTGCATGCTCCATATGCTCCTTGTGCTGCATCTGCAAAACCATGTAATTCGATTCTTGTGTAATTCTTGCAAATCACATGCCTAGGTATCTTGATTTGATTCAGAGCGTTTATTTGATTGCGAAACGATATCCAAGTTGAATGCAAATCTGATGGAATTGCTTCATCCCATGACAATTTGTGCATCCACAATTTCTGTATTAGAATTTTTACCAATACTAAACATGGACTCAAGTATCCTAACGGATCGAATATACGAGTTGTGTCGGACAGTATTTGTCTTTTGGATACCTTTAGCGAAGGTAATTCCTTTATGTTGTAAACTAGCACATCTTGATGAGCTTGCCATACTAAACCAAGGATCTTTGTTTGTAGAC